CATATATTCATTTGTTGGTCATCCGCACTAACATCAAACCGAAAAACATTCGAAAATATTTCATTTTTAAGCATACAGGTAATTATTACGTATCTGAATTCTTTCTTTCCCAATATAACTTTTAGGATATATTGGGTAGCCCGAGCCAATTTTGGTCTCTCCTCTATCCGAAAATGTAGTTTTCATCGGCTCTGCTTCTATTTAAAAAGTTCACCTATCGGTGATATGAAAGCAGATATTTGTGAAATACACCAGAATTATTCATGTTGCATAATTCTGATCGTATTTGGCAAAGTTCTTGAAAATCGGTGAATTCTGTGAGTATTCTGGCATATTTCTGTTGCTTTTCACAAAATTGTGCTTTTTTTCGCAAAATTCTTTAAATGTTTCGGAGAATTCTGAGTGTATTTCGCAAAATTCTGAAAACTTTTTGCAAAATCCTGGTAGGATTTGGGAAAATTCTGAGAAGTCGTTGACAGTTCTGAGAATATTCTTGAATAATTCTGTTGTATTTCACAGTTTTGGGAATTTTGCGAATAAATGTAGAATTTTGCAAGAATTTTCTCGGAACTGCGCCAGATTTCTCAGAACTTTTTCCAGGAGTTTCAGATAAACAGCAGAATGTTTTGAAAAGACAGCTTTTCTCAGAACTGTCACCGATTTCTCCGAATTTTGTCAAAAGCTGCAGAATTTTGCCAATTCCGATGAGAATTTTATAAGATATAATCAGAATTTTCCGAGAAAGGCAGATATTTTTGTGAAATACAGCAGAATTATTCATGTTGCATAATTCTGATCGTATTTGGCAAAGTTCTTGAAAATCGGTGAATTCTGTGAGTATTCTGGCATATTTTCGTTGTTTTTGACAAAATTCTGCTTTTATCCGCAGAACTCTTAAAAGTTTCTGCAAAATCCTGATTGGATTTCGGAAATTTCTGCAGGTTTCGGCAAAATTGTGAAGTGGTTGACTGTCTGAGAATATCCTTGCATTATTCTGTTCTATTTCACTGCTTGTTTTCTGCGAATGTTTTTCCAATTTTGCAAAGAAATGCAAAATTTTGTGAAATACAACAGAATTTTGTGAAATGTTTTGTGAAGTTTTGAGATCGGCGCGGGGTTGTGGGAGCATTCACACTCAATTGCACGACTGGTTCTCACGATACTTTTGAGCATGCTGGACCATGAGTCGTGTGTGGGTGTGTATGACTATTTGAACCGGAAAGAGTTGATGGTTGTTTGCAGACGGTATAATTCTCTCTGATGAAGAGTTTAAGTCATTATTAAGCTATGTCTTTGAAATCTGTACACCACTTATATCATTAGTTCCATTAGATCCAAACGCACAGAGTCATCAGTCTCTACTTATCGTGCATTCTTGTATCAACCCAAATAGCGCTTTCGTTCGGTCGTTAACTAACATAGGCCACCTCTATTCATGTAAGGCAAGAAAAAGAAAACGAACGGAAAACTTCATATCTACAGAAACAGAGAAGAACAAAAAACTACAGAACAAAAAAAACAATATCACATCATCTCACGACGATCGACTAAAAGCAACTAATTTGTCAAGCGTTATAAAGGGATATCCCAAAGAACGAAAGATGCCAAACAAGGTAAAGCACTACTTAAACTATCGCTATATCTCCCGATACTAACTTATCTCAGTCATTATGTTCACAAAACCCTGCTTCGGTCCACAAACTTCACAGTACCGCAATCTTCAAACAGCATAACTGAAACTATTTTTCTGAATAAACCACGCTACGGAAAAAAAGAAAATAATGCTACATGACGTTTGCAAATAACTTGCACGGTAAATGCTTAAAAGAAAATTCACTACACGATGCTTTTCAAGGACTCTACATTCAAAAGATTGAAAGTGTACCAAGTAGTTTTCTTCTGATGATTTCAGAGAAAGAACTGAAACGGTGATTAGTAAGCACCATGTATCGAATGGTACTATTTCTGATGTGGGTCATCGAGTAAAAACTAGCAGTTTTGACCTGAAACACTGGGTTTTAAGCCCTTTCTGCCAGTATATCTTGCTGATATTCGCTCTCCAACCTGTGTTAAACTTCCAGTTGATTGTGTTAGATGCCGAACTAAATTCTCTATCGAATGGTACTATTTCTGATGTGGGTCATCGAGTAAAAACTAGCAGTTTTGACCTGAAACACTGGGTTTTAAGCCCTTTCTGCCAGTATATCTTGCTGATATTCGCTGATATTGCACTTATTAATAACATATTTGATATCTATTAAACTCGAATGTGCTCTCGAACCCCCGATATTTCAGCTGCGGCTGTCGGTTCGGTCGATAATTTTCAGATTTCATCTGAAAAGCTTTTCAGCGTAGACCGAACCACCGTGGGAAATCTTAGCTTGCGACGTAGATTTCGCAGTTCTTTCTCTGCTAACCCCTTTTGTAGCTATGAGTATTATTCTTTATTATACGTTCCTGATACGAAAAACCAATAATAGGTGATAATAGTAGGTAATAGTCTCTCAAAAAGACATTCTTATTTACTGCTCCGCGTACTGCAGCCAGTTCGGCCAGATTCGGCTTTTCCAGTTTCTCATATCCGGAATCGGAACCGGAATCATGAAATAAAAGAGAGTGGAATCGGAACCGTTTGGAATCGAAATTTTTCTTAATGATGACCAGAGTCATCTATATCCTTGCACTCTTACGGTACAAATTCTTTCTTTTTTTTTGTTTCTTTTCGACTGGTTTCGAAATTGTAAAACTGTACGAGATGATTAATTGCATATCGATATTTCTTGTTTTTTACTTATTCTAGTATATTTCGAAGAAATTTGCTTTTTCAATGAGAAAGTAAAGATGAACAATCTCGAAACGGAAGATATAGGAATTTGTAAAAGACATTAATACCAGCTATGATGTAGTCTATGTCTATATCAATTCAACGGTTCCACAGGTAATTTCTTGGAACCGGTTTTGTTCTACTATATGAACCGGAACCAGACTCGTAACCGCAGTTCCGAGTCCGGTTCCGGTTAGTTTCTGGAATCGCCGGGCTCTAGCTTTCAGACGCACACTGAATAAGTATTTATCCGAAAAAATGGTCCGATCTGAGTCGAAAGTTCCATCCCAGATACTTTAGACCCTACAGGAAGAACGAGTCGTAATCGGACCGAAATTCGTTTAGAAAAATGACTCTTCTTCCTTTTTTCTCAAAAATTAAAACTTTATCTTCTTTTGTTTCTACTTTTTAAAAGTAGAGTTTCCGATTTTTCTTTGATTGGAACTTTTTTGTTCTTGTTCTTCTTCTTTTATCATTCAAATAGAAAAAGTTTATTTTCGATTATTATATCATTTAGTACAATCATTAGTTTTTCCAATTTTTTCTCTTTGGAAAATATTGAAAGATGCAGCAGATGCTGTTTTACTTTTACTATATTATAAGGTACATATATTCATTTGTTGGTCATCCGCACTAACATCAAACCGAAAAACATTCGAAAATATTTCATTTTTAAGCATACAGGTAATTATTACGTATCTGAATTCTTTCTTTCCCAATATAACTTTTAGGAATACACTACAGACAATCCGAACTTTTTTTCGGCAAAACCGACGAAAAGTTTCATGAGAATAGAATTTCATTTTAAACATGTTGTATGAGAAATTAATAGATTTTCGACTATGCTGAATTTGTTTATTTCCCTTTTGAGGAGAATAACATAGTTTTTGTCCTGTCCACCACAGATAGTGAATATTCATCTTCGTGTGATGGTAGCGAGAATATAAAATACCAAACAATACTAACAAAATTCATCAGCATGGTTGAAGACCTATTTTTCCATCCGTTTTATACCTTACAATGTTGATGATTAACTAATACAACCGGCCAGTAAGACAGACCTTCACACACAAGTCCACAGAGCCAACAGTCGCAGCTGAAATATCGGGGGTTCGAGAGCACATTCGAGTTTAATAGATATCAAATATGTTATTAATAAGTGCAAATCTTATACTCATAAAATACATAAAAACTGAGATATTACTCAGATAAAATTCATTTAATGTAACAGGTGTTTAAGTAGAATTAAATTCGTGTGAGAAAGAGAAAACATGTCCTTAGCAGAACGGCAACAATTAGTGATTGATTTAACAGAACAACAAAATCAGCAGAAGCAGCAGCTGGACAAGCAGTAGTTTAGAACCATGTTTTATATGTGATCACAAAAAATAAAAACAAACAGTTAGTACAGAAAACATGAGAATAAGAATATATTCGGCTCACTACTGGTATAAGAACGTCGACTGTTGTAATATTCTGTCTTTTCTGTTTAGTTAATGCATTTGAAAACATTCCTACATCTTGCATATGTGCATTTTAGTTAATTTCTCACAAAGTTCTAATGTTAGTTGGACTATTTTGGATTGATACCACTCCAAAATTTCAAAGATCTCAGAGAACCTCCAAAGGTTTTAGATATTATGTTCACATGAAGATAGCTTATAAAGAAATTTTCTGCATAGTTGTCTCACTCAGTAAACCTCTTGCATGTCTAATGCTATGTCAAAGTATAAGAGAATCCTTAAATTGACGAAGAAACATCTTCTTAAAGCTGTTGATAATTATTTCATATTTTTTTTTCTTGTTAGAATGACATTTGAAATGTTGAATCAGTTCTTCAAAAAATTATTTTTCCATTCGACAAACGTTTGGTCCAATTGGGCCGGTAATCAAATATCGAAACCTGAACAAATATTTAAACCAAAAACATTAGAAGATTTGCAACTGATAATTGCAAATGCTCGGCGAAATTCAAAACATATTCGATGTTATTGTTCCGGTCATACATGGAGCTCATTATCAGTGACGAATGGTTATCTATTAGATATGACAGATATGAATAAGATATCAATTGAATATAATAAAGAATATGAATGTTGGACAGCAACAGTCGAATCTGGGGTTTCGGTTGAAGATCTGGATAATGTATTGAAACAACATAATCCTTCATTGGCTGTATCATCAAATACTGTAATAAATTCTATTCGATATGGTGGAATCATTGCAACTGGATGTCATGGTGCAGGAACAAACTCCCATACAATACCTGATCAGATGATTAAAATTGAAATTGTTTGTGCAGATGGTGAATTGTATGAATTTTCCGATAAAATAAATAAACTAGAAATGTCTGCTGCTAGAGTTAATCTTGGAGTGTTAGGAATTATTTATAGAATGACACTTAAAGTTGAACCAATGTTCAGATTAAGAATGACCGACACACTTTTAGAAGTTCAACAAGTTACATCCAACAGTGAATATTTAAAACAACTTGTGCTTAATTCAGATGGTGTTGAAATATTTTATTTTCCATTTAATTCCTGTGGTTTAAATTCAAACAATGATAAAATTTGGATTAAAACATGGGAACGAACAAACGATAATCTAACAGAATCAGGCTTGCCGTTAAATTTTAAACGTTTAAGTCAAAATTTACAAACAGGCTTTAGTGAACCATTATTCGAAACAATGGTTAAGCATCCGTCAATAACGCCTCATCTGCTGTATTTATTATTTCAGATCATAAAAGAAGAATCAAATGTTTTACTAGCACCAGACGCTTTGCATTATCAGCAAGGTATTGATAATATTCTATGTCTTGGCATGGAATTTATTTTCAAAGTAGATGAACAATTTTCAAATGTTTGGCCGAAGTGGAATTACGTCATTTCTAAAACATATGAATTAGCCAAGAAACAGCCAACGCCATCTTATCCATTTAATCTTACGATGGAAATGAGATTTATTAAAAGTAGTCAAGCTCTGTTATCACCAGCCTATGATCAGAATAAAGATGAAATTTATTGTGCAATTGAAATAGTGAGTATAAAGAATTCATCAGGATTCAATGAATTTTCAAATGATGTTGCTTTAAATTGGATATCCAACGGTTCGAAAGCTAACCCACATTGGGCAAAGATGTGGGAGCATTTAAATGGTATTGTGCCGTATATTCAACAAACACATCAACAAGACAATCTACTTGGACAATTTAATAGTATTCGGACAAAATATGATCCAAATGGACTATTTTTTGATAACAAATC